ATTTCTCCTCCCGCTTCGCTGAAGGGGCGCTGCGCAGAGAGGGAAAACTGTGCAGCGCCTCTCCAGCGAAGCGAAGCCTGGAGAGCAAGAGTGATCGGTGTGCACTGACCCCTCTCGCTCTCCAGGCTTCAGGCAGCTATCCGCAAGCCTTCGGAGTGTAGCGGGAACTCCTGCTGCGCTCCGAAGGCTTGCGGATAGCTGCCTGAAGCCCCCGGAGCGCAGCGGGAGTTCCAAGGAGCCTGCATTCACTCCATAAGATGCACACACATTTCCCCTTAATTTTTGAAGGGGAAAAAGTGCGTCTTATAGAGCGAAAAATACGGTACATGTCAATCAAAAGATAACACTTTGTGCTTTCTATCACTGCTGCTCCTCATCCAGCTTTCACCTTTATTAGGCCTCCATGCCTCCCCCTGCTAACGAACTTCCTGTTAACATGGGAAGAGCCCTGCTGGATCAGGCCAAGGGCCCTGTTCTCACGGTGGCCAACCAGATGCCTACAGAACTCCCAGCAACTGGAATTCAGGAAGGCATAATGCGCCCGATAGTGGATGGAACATGTTAGGAGTTAAAAGGAGCAGGTGAGGCACAGTAAACCCATTCAATGAAGCCTGAGAAATATGCTAGCCTTATTTCAGCTCAGCCTCTATACCATCTGGGGCAGCTATGGAGATTCCCGACTATTCCTGGCATGTGGGTTGTAAGGGTGGGGTGGAACTACAAGGGGGAAGAAGCACATGGGAAACAGCATTACCTACATTACCAAAAGACAGAGCCAGGACTGGGCAAGACCCTCTGGTTGGGCACCCTTAAATGGTGAAGGGAAGGAGGATGTTCTTGTTTTGTACTGGCCACCCCAGAAGGTTGAAGCAGCTGGGCGACTTTCTAGCCGCCTTAATGTTCTTTCCCATCTAAACTATGGAAAGGGCTGCCTGCGAATACCTGGATTCAATTTCTGCTCTTCTGAACATACATAAACCACACCCTAGGCTCAGAAGGAACAGCATTCCAAGCCGTAATACATTATTTGCAAGATATAAGCCAGAAAAGCAGAGTTGTTCCCCCACCACTACCTCAATGAAATGCGGATCAAGCACAAGGGCCAAAAATCACACACACCAGCCAAAACATTCCGTATCCTATCAAAAAGGAAACAATTTTGTGGAAAGGGCAGGCACGCCTGTAAATTAGCAAACTGGATATGGCACTAAGAAGGGCCTGGAGTTTCCTCCAACACACTGTACGGTCTGCAATGTGAGAGGGCAACTCTTCCCTTCTGAGGGAAGGGATTCCGCCAAGCTGCTCAGATGTGGGTAGTTGGTAAAATGGGATGGAGGTGTGATGGTGAGACAGAATGATTTATTGTTCGAATGGAACCAAAACCATCTGTGTGAATTAAGCTCTTTTCTTTTCTCTCTTTTCTTTTTAAAAAGAGAGTTCTTTGGAGAAAGGGAAGGGAGCAAAGGTGTTATATAAAAGCAGCTAAAGACACTAAGTTGGGGAAAGTACTTTTCATTGAGAGATGGACAGGGGGTGAAGGAACTCTAAAGAAAAGGAAGACAAAGCCCAAAACTGAGGTAAACGATTGTCTCCAGCTAGAGATTTGGAAAGGAATATCCAGAAGGGTATCGAACCTCATCCAAAGGCTGTTCTGGGAAGGCAAGCAAGGAGAAATATCTCCAGCTGTGTGCATAGCAGACGAGAACCAAGAAAAGAAAGCATTCTATTTGCAGTTGCCAGCCATTTTTTAAAACCTGTGTTTAATAGCGAAATGTCTATAGAAAAGAAGGTCAAGAGAAGGGGCTGACCACAAAGCTTGCTATGCACACTAGCAAATAAGGTTAATGATGGGGACTAACCCCTACCATGTTAAAGCTATGGTTTTCCCCAGTAGTGATGTATGGAAGTGAGAGCTGGACCATAAAGAAGGCTGATCGCCAAAGAATGGATGCTTTTGAATGATGGTGCTGGAGGAGACTCTTGAGAGTCCCATGGACTGCAAGAAGATCAAACATGTCCATTCTGAAGGAAATCAGCCCTGAGTACTCACTGGAAGGACAGATCCTGAAGCTGAGACTCCAATACTTTGGCCACCTCATGAGAAGAGAAGACTCCCTGGAAAAGACCCTGATGTTGGGAAAGATTGAGGGCACAAGGAGAAGGGGGCGACAGAGGACGAGATGGTTGGATAGTGTTCTCGAAGCTACCAGCATGAGTTTGACCAAACTGCGGGAGGCAGTGGAAGACAGGAGTGCCTGGCGTGCTCTGGTCCATGGGGTCACGAAGAGTTGGACACGACTAAACGACTAAACAACAACAACCCCTACCATGCCAGTCTGTCACAAGCCTAATGGTTTTTGCTACTTACTAGCACCACAGGGGTATTGGGAGCAGGCAACTGAATGAAGGAACGACTAAGTCTGGGTTCTGAAATCTCTCTTCTGTTTTATATTATGCAACTGAGGAAATGGTCTTCCCCAGTATGCATGAATTGCAAAAACAAACAAACAAACAAATATATATATATATATATAGCAGGTTAGGCCCAGAGCCTAGTGACATAAAAGGCACTTCTTTCACCTTTCTGTTGGCATGAGAAAACAGGTAAGAGGAGGTTTCAGCATCAGGTCAGCAAGAAGCCAAAGCAGGCAGGTTGGGGGGTGGGCAGGGGACCCACTGATCAATGTCACAGGCAGGGTTGTACTTAGGCAGTTTTCCTATGGGAAGGCAGGTCCCAACTACCAGAAGAATTAGGAGTGTTGCTGATTTAGAAACAATGGATAGCTCTTCCTACAGAGGAGAAAAATGCCCGTTATCTCTATCCTTTACCATGGAGGGCTGGCGAGGTTTTTTTTTTACAAAGTCACATCTTTGGGTCAGACAAATTTCCTATAAAGGCCAACTCTGGCAAGGCATTATTTCTGTAAACTTCTTCACACTGAACATCTGCCGGGGGGGGGGGGGAGAGAAGAGCAAGGCTCACTTTAAGCACTTGATCTTCTATGCTGAGAAAAACATGTCTAGTGGGTGGGTGTGGCTAATTTAAAGCACTAGACACAGAATGGTATATTAGTAGAGGGATGCGCACACATTAACTTTCCATCTTTTAAGACAGGAAGGTGCTCTAAGCATGATTCTTTAAGAAGCAGCTGGAGACAGCCAAGGTCTACTGGAGCCATCGATTGTTGTTTTTTTACTAACACTGTAGTATTTTAAAAGGAAATGTTGAGTAAGTCTTGGGCATGCTGAAAGGAAGGGCAGGGTCTCTCCGTATGTTGGGACCATCAGTCCCAGTTATCAAGTTCAATGCTACGGGATGAAAAGACTTGGAGTCCAGATACCTCTATGATAATGCCAGAAAATAATTTGGTAGAAAATTAGGTTGCTTGAACCAGACTATGTAAATCAGCTGTTGGTTTTCAACATATAATGCACAGCCAATACAGCTCTCATTACTACCACATTTCCCCTATGCTTAGAGACGTTGGTGCAGTTATTTCATGGGACATCTGCTTAGCTCAAAGGAATAACTTTTTGGCATATACCACCCTGGAGTAAACGTTATCTGCTAACCTTTTGGTCTGGTAACCAAGGGTGCTGCAAAAGAAACCCTTTGCCACCTGATCCTTGCCAGATTGTCTGAGTTGTAGGAATGAACTAGGCACAAGCTACGCTAATTAGCAGCCGGGGTTAGAAGGGAAAGTATGGCACAGGAGTTCTCCCCTAGCTGTGGAGAATGTCGCTGATACAAGGTCTCCCTGCTCTGGCAAAACCCTTGGACTGGGATGTACCTTACAATCCTTCTTCAGAATTCAACATGGCCACACACACACACACCTGTACCTGCGTGGGTACTCCTTCACCTTGGTGTTAGATCTCACACTGCCATGTGGTGCTCTCTCTCTATGTGTGAGAACACTGTTACAGTGTTTGCAGAGCAAGTCGTGTACACCTTCAGTATTCTTCCCTCCCGGCAGGGTGACAACTGGTTGGCAGAGGCCCATGCAACAGGCCCTGCCCTCACACTCAATTCACCCCCACATTCCCCACAAGCACATGAACAGGAAAGAGGCAGCCACCTTGCGACAGGTGCATGGGAAAGGGAGAAGCCCTTTTATAAAAGTAAATAATAAAACTGCCAGATCCCCTTTCTCAGCTCAGGAAAATTCAAATTCTGTCTTATCTATGCGTTAAGCTATTAAATAACTGCATTAACGGAGCTGATTAATTAATTAAGCTAATTAAGCTGAGGCTCCAATACTTTGGCCACCTCATGAGAAGAGAAGACTCCCTAGAAAAGACCCTGATGTTGGGAAAGATGGAGGGCACAAGGAGAAGGGGACGACAGAGGATGAGATGGTTGGATAGTGTTCTCGAAGCTACCAGCATGTGTTTGACCAAACTGCAGGAGGCAGTGGAAGGCAGGAGTGCCTGGCGTGCTCTGGTCCATGGGGTCACGAAGAGTCGGACACGACTAAACAACAACAACGGAGCTTCTGTTCAAGATGGGACTGGTGGGATAATATACTTGATACATAAGCGCCATCAGAGGGAAATGGTTGGGGTCCATAACTTCTCCTTGCCTCGACATGCAGCTTGTGGACCATTCCAAGTCCATTTAAGGCACTGCAATGCCATCTACAAAGTCTCCCTTTCTCCCTGATGGCTGTTGTCTCTGCACCTTTTCCTGCTCCTTATCGTGGCTCTCTTTACCTTATGATTCTGCGCACGAATGCGCACACTGCTAGACTGCCATAAGGAAACATGGCCCATAGGAAGAAGAAGAAGAAGGAGGGGAGTTTGGATTTGATATCCTGCTTTATCACTACCCGAAGGAGTCTCAAAGCGGCTAACATTCTCCTTTCCCTTCCTCCCCCACAACAAACACTCTGTGAGGTGAGTGGGGCTGAGAGACTTCAGAGAAGTGTGACTAGCCCAAGGTCACCCAGCAGCTGCATGTGGAGGAGCAGGGAATCGAACCCGGTTCACCAGATTACGAGTCCACCGCTCTTAACCACTACACCACACTGGCTCTCTAGGAAGTAGGGTTGTGGCAGCCACTGGCAGCAGCAGGATGGGGCAGAGGCAAGGAATCTCCGAGAGGCAGGCAGCAAGGGGACAATCTCTTTCCCATGGCTCCACAGCTGCCATCCCCAACCTTGAGTCCCCAGACGTTTTTGGAATACAGGCAACTCTCAATTTGTGCGTGTTCGATGCACGTGCAACTGCGCATGCCATGTTTGGCACCGGAAGAGGATGGAATGAGCTTATGCACATGATGACCTGGAACATAACCCCTGCATAAATGGGGGGGGGGTGCCTATACAGCTGCCACCATCCCTGGCCACTGGCCGTGCTGCTTGGGGATGATGGGATTTGTAGTCCAACAGCAACTGGAGACCCAAAGTTGGGGAAAGGCTGCTCTAGAGCCAGGCTTAAGGTGACTTTCTATTGAACGCCCGACCAAAATCTGTTTAGCAGATTCTGATGAGGATGGGGGCCATAGTAAAAGGGGCACAGGTCATCAGGGATTGTATGCATCGATGTATGCAGGGATTCGATCCTTAGCATTTCCAGCTAAAGGGATCTCAGGAAGCAGCGCTGAAGAAGGCCTCTTTTGAGGAGCCACCAAGCACCTGACTCAACAGTACTCAGAAGGACTGGTGGTATGACTAACACTAGCATCAGCTTCAGATATCATCTCTCACAAGAGCACGGCGCCTGTGAATGAGAGATGTGGTACTAATTGGATTCAACTTTACCTCAATCCCCTTTCCCCTAGAAAGCAGGGCCAATCTGAAGACCTTACCTTCTTATCTTTAATGGCATGCATTCAACCAGGAAAAGGGTTCTGAGATTTTTTTTAAAATGAAAACACAGCATTGTTGGGCCAAAAGGAAAAAAAAAAGTTGCAATCTGTCCTCTAGCCAGCAAGTTCCTTTCCTGTTCTATTATCCTTAGAGGATCCTGGCTGCTGCACCTGCTGTGTCTTGTTATCGGAGCTGTCACTAAGGAAACAGATACCCTGTTGGGACAAGTTATATTCAAAGTACTTGCCTCTGTGCATGTTCAACATATCAAATAAGGGGGAAGGCGGGGGGTGGGGGTGGGAGGATGGAGGAGAGAAGACAAGTGACCGGATGTCTGAAATGCTTGCTAAAAGGAAGTCTGCAGACACTGAGAGTAAATGTCTTGCTGATTTTAAACAAAGGGGGAAGGAAAAGGAACCCAAGAGGAGAAAGGAAAAATAAAAGGTCACGGAATAATAGACTAGAACCGAGATCAGGCTAAGGCAAGGAAATGGGTCAAAAAGCAATGAGGACGAGGCCCTGAGAAGCTAGAAAGACAAGGGAGATCACCTACTGTGGAAAATCTACACAAGTCCTGTCATGTGCACATTGCGCAATTTGATACCGAGATTCTTGAATAGGCGAATGTATATTCTAATGGACAAATTTGCCAAAACTGGGGTTTAAAAAAGTCCTTCATGATGAACCTTACACGGTTTGGCAGCATGGCGTACAAAGCCCATTAAAAAGAACAGAATGTTTTCAAATGAGTCTTTTTTTTAAAAAAATAAAATTTAAGGAAGACGAAATGAAGGAAATGTTGGCATTGATGGGCTTCTTTTCTAACAGCTGCAGCATAATTGTCACAGGCTTGCCTCCCGCTTGCTAGGGATGCCGTCTCGATAGCTAAAGCTATCCAGTTAGCAAAAGCTCAAGGCCAACTTGAGGAGAAGACACACGCAACACACACAAATGCGCTTTGGCAACAAGCAAGAGGCAACAGGAAGAAAACAACTCCAAGCGCCCTTTTAAAATGCCAAGATTTTTCGTTTCCCGTAATATACCCTTGTGACACCAGTGCTCTAGGAGTCCTGCATCTGAAAGGGGTGGTTGGGAGAAGGCGCGGCAGGTGCATCATTACTCAAAGCAGGGTCAAGAAGAGGGGAAAAGAAAAGAATGCTCCTCCCAGCCTCTTGCCCTTGAAAGAGACACTCCATGATTTAAGGCCACAGTCTTAGCAAGTTCACAGGGTTAAATGCAACAGGCGATCCTTTGAAATGCGCAGGGGTTAAAGGGGTTTTGAAACCTTTCAAATGTGTGACCTATGGAGAGGCTTCCCGCCTATCCTTCAAAGGCAGGGCAACTCTGACATCAGCTCAGCTTAGCTTTGCATGAGCCATCCGCTAGGCAGCAGGTGCCTAGTCAAGGTTGACAAACTTAGGGCGACCCCATCAGGGTGCATATTTTGCACACATACGGATCCTAATTGTTTTGATTTTATTAAGATTCTGCTAGATGCAGCAGAGGCGAGGGAGTGCATAGAGTGTCAAAGCTCTGCCTTCTGCCCAGCGGAAGCACTGCTTATTCTTCCTAGCAACTGGAACACCAAGTACTTCCCATCGTACTTTTGAGGGTTACCTCCACAGCCAAACTGAGCCAGGAACTGTACCAAATGAAAAGGTGTCCGATTAATGCACTCGTCTGATCAGATGCACAGCTACAGACTTTGCAGTCTGAGATGCGTGCGACAGGCTTTCCATTTCCACTGCGGCGACTGCCAACAGCCCCCAACCGCAGGAGCTACGAGTGAGGTTGCTTGCTCGCTTCACAAAACAGTTGGGGATGGGGGAAATCAAACCTACAAGGTTATGGAGCTTACCACCTTCAGAGCCTTGAGCTGCAGTCCTGGTGTGAAAGTGCAGAATTGAAAGCCAGCTACAGCGGTGGCGACGGGTACACTGGAAATGTCAGAAAGCAGCGGGGGTGCTAATTTTTTCATAAAAACGGGCAGCACCAGCAAAAGGCCACAGCCTCTCCCAAGAATGCTTCCCTTTGCTAAAAAGCGGCCAACTCGAGAAAAGCACCATGAGTAACCAAGCTAAGGGAGGCTTAGTGTTAGTGGAACTTATACCTGAACATTAACCATTTAAGACCACACCGAGCAAGGCTAAGTGTGCTGTTGACTCCATACGACGGCCGATCGTCCCTAAGGGGTGGCGAAGCTGGTCATTTTGAGGCCATCCTTTAGAAACAGGATGGTCATCACACTACTTTGGGCCAGGATGTGAATGGGGATATACTTAGTTAGAAGCTCCGTAGCTGCCCTTAACTCACTTTAAGAAAGAAACAAAAAACAAAACAAAAACGTATCCACCCCATATCGACCAAGGGGCTTAGTTATGATCAGTCTCTCCAGCCGCAAGTTCTTATTGGTTAGTTCTACGTCACACATTTTGCGACATCATCTGCCAGCAGACTGGGAGTGGGGAGCCATAATGACGTGTGACTGTATGGGCACGTTCAGTTCTGTCCTTTGGCTTGCCATCTGAGTGAGGACTGATGTGGCGACAGCTTCAGCTGCAGAGCGGACAGCCAGCCCGTTGGGAGAGGCCGTCACAGAACTGTGCTGGATGACAGGAGCCGGGGAACCTGTGGGCTCAGAACTCTCCTTGGGGCTTTCTGTATTTTTTTTCAAAAAGAGAAAGAGAGAGAAAGAGAAGAGTTATGAAAAAGGTTGTCTCTTATCATGTGCTAAGTGTTTAAAGAAGCCCATAGGTCTGTAGATTACAACACGGCAGCCATTTTGTCCCTTCCCACCATATGCATTTCATCATGTTGTTTTAGGTAGCTTTCTTTTTCTCAAATATACCCTGTGGGTGGAAAGCAGTAAGACCAGCTACTGACTCAGCAAATGCCATCACCACATTTTAGTGTAGCTTAAGTAATTCATCCAGGTTTCCACAGAATTTTCTAGCAAATTCAGGCGAGGGGACAGCACAATCCATACCACGTGTCACCTGTCACTGTGACAAATCCATCTTCTGGAGATTTTCCCAGAGGAACGCTGACATGGTTTGCCTCCCTCAGGACGTACAAGGTAGAGATGGAGGAGGAATCTGCCCTACTAGGATTCCAAAACAGATCATCAAGGCGGATCATGACCCTGATTGGACTGGTGGTCCTCTTCAGAATCCACAATTGTGTGTATTCTGATACGAGGCAGCCTGGGGGTTATGCACTGTCTCTGCCCCACAATCAATTTGCTTTAAAATTTTTTTATAAAATAGGATATCCATTAGCCCACAGCCTGAACAGCATGCACTCGGGGGCTTCTTGTGATGGAACATGGTGATATTCTGTCACTCTCAGGGGGAACTATATACAAAACCCCATGGCTGCCCCCCATATAAACACTGCAGGGACTGAATACTTTATAAGATTAAAAGGAGGCAGGGAGAATGGAGGTGGCATGCCAACTTTGGGCCATCTTGTAAGTTTTAAGTGTGCATTTCTGGGTGATTTTTGAAAGACCTTTCATTAAAAATTCACCTGTAAACAGAACGGGCTAAGTCCCCTATGAGAACCCGGATGGACCAGACTTTAATCAGTCCTTCAAACATTAGTACAAAGTATGATGAATTTCCAGTACTGTGCCTTCTTAACATTGCATGCCACCTTCTTTCAGCAGCAGCTAAACATAGCCACTTCACAGTTCTGGAAACTACCGTATTTTTCACTCTATAGGACACACCGGACCATAGGAGGGGGAGAACAGGAAAAAAATAATTCTCCCCCCTCTGCTCAGTGCCCCTTCAGTGAAGCGGCAGAAGAAACGGAGCCCCTTCCATTTCTCCTCCCACTTCACAAGAGGGATCGGTGTGCACCAACCCCTCTTGCTCTCTAGGCTTCAGGCAGCTATCTGCAAGCCTTCGGAGCACAGCGGGAACTCTCCCTCTGCGCTTCGGAGGCTTCGCGTTGCTATCGCTGAAGCCAAGGAGCCTGCATTCGCTCCATAGGACGCACACACATTTCCCCTTAATTTTTGGAGGGGGGAAAGTGCGTCCTATAGAGCGAAAAATACGGTATTTCTCTATATCCGCCACAGGACTCTCTCCCAGTTTTTTCAAGAAACAGCAACAAAATTATCAGGGCATATATATGTGGCTGGAGGTTCAGCAGCATGATTTCAGCATTCATTATGAGAAGAAGAAGAAGAAGAAACAACCAAGCTTGTGTTGCTTTCTAGAAGACCTATGGCTGAGAGAAGCTCCAGCTTACTCAAAACAGAGCTCACTCTGCCAGGGCAAGACCCCCTGTTTCAAGCAGCAGACACCCCAGTATCTTTGAACAGAGCTCTTCTCCGTTGACAGCAGCACACCTGCCAACTCAAGAGGGCTCTATTTCAAGTGGGATGCGGGAACCCTTCCAGCTCAAAGATCCAATATTCTATGTGAAGTCTTAGACCATGATGTGGAACATCATGGGGATTCAAGCTTGTTCCTTCTTTAGAGAGAAACTTTTCCTGGAACGAAACCTGAAAATGGAGCCGTGATCAGTGCCTTCGCTCGGAATCCACTGTGAATAGCACCATCTGTTCTTGGTATACATCCCAGAAAACAAGCTAGTACAAACACACTTATTGACTTGTGGTCAAGCTCAAAAGCAGGGAAAAACTGCCACAAGCTGCTACTTTTGTCCCCGGAGTACACCTGTGTATCCAGAAACACAGGAGGAAAATCCAGCCTTACAATAGGTACATGACAGTGCTGTTTCAAACCAATATTCCCATGCCATTCAGTATTATTTACTCAAATTTTAAACGAAGTATTCGGCTTTTACTTTCATGTCCTATTGAACAACAATAACAAACCTTTAGCATAGTGTGCTGCAAATCCTGTGTTGTTTTGCCTTGTTGTCTCCTTGCAGTTTATGGTATCTTGGCATTCCTGCCCTAACATAAAAATTACTTGCAAGGTATCACAAATAATATAACCCAACTGTGCATGAGGAAGCTGTAATTCTATCCATGCCCTCTGGCATTTTTGTTTAAGGAATTGCTTAGTCACAAATCTCAATAATAAAAAAAGACTGTGTGTCTGTGTGCATGTGCAAAAGAGAGATAATTTCATTTTTAATATGCAGATGCAAACTGAATTTCTATTCCTGCAGCAAGCAGACAACAAAGACTAATGATACAAATGATAAATTCTAAATAACAGGCGTGGTGGTGGAAGACTCATGCTGCCTTCTTGCTATGTGCACAAAGGAGCAGCCTTGGGAGGCAGAAGAGGGAGTCAGTTTGGTTTCACTGCCACATTTCTCAAACGGTGAGTCATTGCAGTGAATCAAAATAAACAGCGTATGCCAAGAGCTCCGCAAGGCGCGAATGTGTGTTCACTGCAGGCAAGTGGCATTTCTCAATACTCACAGCAGTGATGCCTTCTGCAGCACAGTCTCTTGTCTCATATATTATTGCTCCTTCCCTCCTACCCTCTTTCGCATCTCCAGCAGCCAAGCTAAGCTGTTTTGCCAAAATGGCACTACAAATATTAGGGCAAGGAAGGATCCGGCCCAAAGTCCCTCCTGTCTCAAGCATCAAAAGGTTACACAGATCCCAGATCTTACTAACTGATCTGATGCAGGAGACTTCGAGAAACCAGGCTGTGGAAATGGGGTGGTCGAGTCGGGGGGGGGGGATAGATAAATAGGTCAGGGGTAAAGAAGCAGTTCAAATGAAAGGAATGGACAGCGGGCAGGAACAGGAGGAGGAACACCTCCCCTGCATTTTCCTTTAGCCCACAGATGGATAACCTGCAGCCTGGGTTTTGCACGCCCCTGAAATCTCCAGCAGCTGCCCTATTCTTCTATCCCATCAGAGTTCTTTCCTTCCTGATAGCTTCCTCTTTATTTTTCCTGGTTCTTTAAAGTAAACTGTTGTGCTTTTTTGTAGTCTCAGAACAATTAAGGGACCATTAAAAATAATAATAACAACAATTTATTGATATTTTTTTTTAAAAAAACATCTTTTTCCTGTTGTACGGCATGGGAAAAGAAGGCCTCCCTCCCCAAGCTCCCTTCTCTGTGTACGAGTGAACACACATACTATGGTCACAAAGGAATTGCCTTCACTTTCTTCCCAGACTAGCAGCTGTAATTGTCTGTTGTTCTAAATAAATTAGAATAGATAAGTATCTGTATTATGTATCCCCATCAAACCCTCTGGGGTTTACTTCTGAGTACACCTGCACTCAGGATTGGGAATCTGAGATAGTATTGGAAAATTGGAGCAAGGAAGTCCTCATTCCAGTTTAGCTAATCCAGGGCACCTTTGTCTCTGTCTCCATCTGTTATTGCCTCTGACTCCATCTCCAGCATACAGATACAGATACCAGACAGAGGGCCTTCTCGGTAGTGGTGCCCGCCCTGTGGAACGCCCTCCCTTCAGATGTGAAGGAAACAAGCATCTATCTTCTCTTTAAAAGACATCTGAAGGCACTCCTGTTTAGGGAAGTTTTTAATATTTAATGCTGTATTGTTTTTAACACTCGATTGGAAGCCACCCAGAGTGGCTGGGGAAACTCAGCCAGATGGGCGGGGTATAAATAATAAATTATTATTAATTATTATTATTATTATTATTATTATTATTATTATTATTATTATTATTATTATTATACCACCCAAGGGAATAGGGCCCTCAACTAAGAAAAAGGTTCCCTGTCCCTGGTTTAGTTCCTGCTATTACAGCCCAGCCAAACTCTGAGATTCAGTCAGAGATTTGGGGAGCTAATGTTTGAGCAGCTAACATCTCCACCTCAAGACCCCTTTTCTAACCCTATGGCTCTCATCTTTCTGCCTGGCGGATTGATCTAGTTAGTTCTTATGAAATAGACCTTTAATCTACTCTGGCTTCCTAGTGATGAACCTTTACAGTTGTACCTTGGTTCTGGAACACCTTGCAACTCAATCGTTTTGGCTCCTGAATGCCGCAAACCTGGAAGTGAGTGTTCTGGTTTGCGAATGTTTTTGGGAACCCGAATGTCTCTTGTGGCTTCCGCAGCTTCCAATTGAGTGCAGGAAGCTCCTACAGCCAATCGGAAGCCACACATTGGTTTTCGAATGTTTTCGGAAGTCGAACGGACTTTCAGAACGGATTCCGTTCAAGAACCAAGGTACGACTGTATTTGTTTTGTTTCCTTTGCCCTGAGATTTGCCTTGGCTGCTGCTACCTCCTTGGACGTTTCCATAAGCAGGTGTAAATAATTTGCACATGTGGCTCCTCCTGACATCACCTGGAACCTGAACGTCCAACACAGGTTCTGTGGCTTCCGATTGGTTGTAGGAGCTTATTGCAGCCAATCCGAAGTCGCGCTTTGGTTTCTAAACGTTTTGGAAGTTGAACGGACTTCTGGAACGGCTTCCGTTTGAATTCCAAGGTACAACTGTCCTGAGATTGAAGCATCTACACAGCCTGCCCTCTTTGGCTCTGCAGGCATGTTCAGAGGCTCCCCACTTACCGAGATAACCTTGTGTTTTCTTCTGTAATGCAGTGACAGGGCAGTCTTTGTGAGCCAACAGAAGCTGTTTGAGTTGAGCAACTTCATTCCGTAATAATGTAACTTCATTCTGCAGGAAAGGAAACATTTATCTTCATTGCATGTGCTCTCATGTCCAGCCTTTCAAACTTTTGTCCTCAATTGTTTGGGATAGGTATTGTATAAAATGGGGGGTGTTGTGAGTCATCATGAATGAGTCTCTTGCTGGTTACCGGAGGCAGGAAATGCTCCATTTTTGGCATTTAAATAACTGATCTGATCTTAGGGTTTTAACTCTGTGCTTAAGCAGCGCTTTTTGCCTCTGAATCTGGGAGCGACAATCAATTGGGGGGGGGGGGAATCCCTCGAACAACAGTGCATATTTAAACATAGTAAAATTGCAATATAAAATGCTCTAGTTATTACAGAAATAGTTATCCACTTCAATTTCATGGGATAGGGTGGGCTAAAATTCACACACATGCAGCTTGCTAGAATGTTTAAAGGCACACGTTTCCATCGCTGAAATACAATGAAAGCCAAGCCTCCATGCAAGGTACTCGGCCAAAACTCTGTTCGGTCAAGAGGGCAGATTGCAGCTACTGAGGAGCCACAGCACCAACTGGACAGGGACCCCACAATACTTCCAACCTTTATTGATACAGTTGCATGGAATGTGGCAGCTATTCTTAGGTCCTAGTATGCAGAAGTGGCCTCTGCAGGGGTCACAGGTCACAGCTTGCATTTAAAACATCTGAGCAGAAGCTGCTTGCATTTGTAACCCTGCCACAGCAGTCTTTTTGCGGCACTCCAAAGATAGCATTGAAGGTACTTATGAATGGGTGGGGAGATTAATTCAATGAACACAGAGAGAACTCAGAGGAGTCCTTTTGGGTGAAAAGGAAGTCCTTGCTTCCGTTCCTCTTTCACAGGGAGACAGGATGTCCACCGCTGGATTGGGTCCCCTTCCCAGGGACCAGCCTGGCAAGGCTAAAATCTTCTTCCTGGAAGCTGGGAACTTTCCAAAAGACAGCGAAGCAATATATATTGTGGGAAGAAAATCCCACAGAAGAACTGCAAACCAAGTGGCCCCTAACGACCTCCAGCGGCAAATCAAATTAGGTCAAAATTCCATAAAATATGGGATAAAACGTGAGAAACTGGCCTTCCAAGGTTCAGTGGGGTGGGAAAAGTGAAAGCAAAAACATGCTGCATGCACTTAGGCAAGGATTCGAGTCACTGCTTACAAGAACAGAAGTCCACCAGGTAGGAGGACATTCGGTGATAAGATATTAAAAAGGAGAGCGTCCCAGGGAGGGAACAAAACTCTCACACCTTTGCTGTAATTGAGCCCTAAGGCTTAAGAACTCTGCACCCAAAGGCTGCCTCTGCTGATGTGCAGATGTCACAGAAAGGTATCCTTTTGCATGGGCTCTCTTCCTTAACCAAGAGAGCTGGAATTAGAGGTAGCATATTCAAAGATAATGCAAGGATAGAGTAGCTATAGGAACCCCTCTGCTGGTAAATAAAGCCTAAAGGGGAACAAGAAGGCTCCAACTGGTTGCATAAGGCGAATGTAAAGAATACTAAGGATAAGGTATTACATGTCAGAACTCAGGACCTTTGAAGATACTGCAGCTAAGGGCTCAAACTAACGATGTATTTGGTCACATACAAGAATCCAAACCGTCTTGAAGGAAAAATAAAATGTCATTTCCTAAAAGTGTTGCACCACGCATTACTGTCGGTGCATATAGTGGAAGAGTTACAGGACAGCAGATGAGCTGAGATGATCCTGGGTTGCCATCGTTCAACTTTCAAGCAGTCAGGTTGAAAAACTGTGGTTGAGGATAAAGAAGGGCAGTCCTGATATTACCAGTAACTGCCATGGATCAATACTGGAGAGGACAATTGGATTAGAAATCCCGTGCCTGCTTAAAGATGGTGATGATGTCTGCCTTGTATTCTGTGAGCCTCCCAACTGTCTCAGAGATCAAGAGAAGGCCAAGTAGTTTGCAAAGTTGCAGCTGTCAGCCCAGCTTCTCTCCTTCCCTACTAAGTCTGCTTCTGAAGCAAGCCACCTGACTGTTTCTGTTAGTGGTATGAAGTTCAGTTTTGGGAACTATCAATCTGGATGCTATCTGCTGAAACACCCTCCAGTATATGTATCCAGACTGATCTACAAATCTTCAATTTACCCAGTCTGTATGAGCATTCAAACCCCCCCAAGATAAACATGACATTATGGGGAAAAGCTGCTTCTGCTCCCCATTGAAGGCTGACTCTTTCCTTGAGATGGGCATTGCCCTGTCTGTTCAGATACGCTTTTGCATTGGTGTTGTTGATATGGAAAAGTACATTTCACCTGCACAATCTGGAGATGAAAGCTAAGCAGATTGTATTTTTGTGTGTGATTGAAATGTGGATACAGTGGTACCTCTGGTTACGTACTTAATTCGTTCCGGAGGTCCGTTCTTAACCTGAAACTGTTCTTAACCTGAAGCACCACTTTAGCTAATGGGGCCTCCTGCTGCTGCCGTGCCGCCGCCGCATGATTTCTGTTTTCATCCTGAAGCAAAGTTCTTAACCCGAGCTATTATTTCTGGGTTAGTGGAGTCTGTAACCTGAAGCATGTGTAACCTGAAGTGTATGTAACCCGAGGTACCACTGTACCTTGAGTTGAGAACTTTGCCCCAGGATAAGAACGGAAAACGTGTGCCGGCGGAGCAGTGGCAGCAAGAGGCCCCATTAGCAAAAGCACGCCTCTAGTTAAGAAGAGTTTCAGGTTAAGAACGGACCTCCAGAACGAATTAAGTGCGTAACTAGAGGTACCAATGTATGTCTAATATTGAAAGAAATGTATTTAATATGTTCTAAGCACTTACACTTAGTTGGATGTTCTGCGTTGTGAGTTCCTCCGCCTTCTTCTCCAAGGATGACACCCAGAGCTTGCGCTTCTGGCGGCAACGGGAGGCGGCAGCCCGGTTCCGTTCCAGGAAACGCTGCCTGCGCTCGTCTGGATCTTCGTCCATTGTGCGTCTCCGTCGGCCTCCTGTGCTAGGCGTGGGCTGAGCTGGGGAAACCTGGGGTTGAAGAATGAAAGAATTGCCGAAATTAAGGAACAAGATTAATTGGGCAGTTTGTGCACTCTCAGGGCAGCCCATTAAACACTCAGCGGCCAATTAGTAACAACGCAGAACAATTTCCCCGATTCTTGATCTCATATCCTCACTAACTCTCACCAGGACATTTAGGCAAAATAGCAATGTAAGATTTGTGCAAGTGACTCAAATACTGATTGTGTTCACGCTTTCTTTCTTTTAACCCAGTAGGGACTATGCCATATGGAGTAGCAATCCTCTAACCCTTTAGCCTATTTGCTTTGCACTGAAAACCTTTTCCATTATTTCAAGAGAACAAAGAAAACTAGCTGCCAAGAGCAAAACAGATCTGCAGGTTCCCACCTTAGCTCAGCCCCACCAAATGGGCTTTATAATTATGCAGACCAGTTTACACTTTGCTACTACTCACTGTCAGTCAGGCAGCATATGGATAGTAAACTTCTGGAAGCCTGTCTAGCTGACAGAGCAGGTGGTGATTTTGATGGAAGGCTGGCATTTGGTGAGCTGGCAGGAACAAATGGGGTGCATTTAAACCCAAGTCATTAAAACAGGAAGAGAGAGAGAGAAGATCTGAAAACATTGCGTCTATATTCCAGACTGTGTCCCAATTGCCTGTGATGCCTAACTGGTAACTGTCTGGCAGCAGCGGTGACAGAAGCAACGGGGTGAAAGACGCAGCTTCTCTGAAAGGCAACAGGCTTCCTATACCCGTTCAGGGGATCTGGAACTCAGTGCCAAAACATCTCAGATTCTATAGCTAGAAAAGCCAAATCTGGCAACTGGGGGGAAAGAAACCCCATACAAATGAATTATATGCATATAACATTTCTATGCTTATTTTTGCTTGCAGAATCAACAACCTTGGTTGAGTATATTTGGGAAATGGAAAAAAGGAGGGTTGGGTCTCACTGGTGGTGGCAGAATGTAGAAATACAAGGCATCTACGGTGACAAGGGAAATGAACTGGGAGCTGTGTGGAGTAATGTACCATCACTTTCTGGCTACTAAAAGACTGACAGACTTTTTTTCTGAAGACCTGATGGTGGAATGCGAGAAGAGGCAACATTGCCTATGGTTACATACACATCACACTACTGTCAGTAGCAGACAGATCAGTCAGGTTTTTAAAGGGTAAAGGGACCCCTGACCATTAGGTCCAGTCGTGACTGACTCTGGGGTTGCGGCGCTCATCTTGCTTTATTGGCTGAGGGAGCCGGCGTACAGCTTCCGGGTCATGTGGCCAGCATGACTAAGACGCTTCTGGCAAACCAGAGCAGCGCACGGAAACACCATTTACCTTCCCGCCGGAGCGGTACCTATTTATCTACTTGCACTTTGACATGCTTTCAAACTGCTAGGTTGGCAGGAGCTGGGACCGAGCAACGGGAGCTCACCCCGTCGCGGGGGATTCGAACCACCGACCTTCTGATCAGCAAGCCCTAGGCTCTGTGGATCAACCCACAGCGCCACCTGCGTCCCTCAGTCAGGTTTTTACAGTGTTTCAAAAGCCTGCAAAAGCACATCTGACTGTGTATGACAATGGGAACCAAAGGTGAGAGGGTAGTTGTGCTTTTGTCTTATCAATTTTCAGCTCCATTAAGTTCTCATGTTTCGTTCCGAGCATCTATCTAAAAGCCACCCAAACAATTTCCCCTCATTCCTCCACAGTCATGAATACTCGAAACTTGTTCTTTTTACACAAAGCCTCTGAATTTGATAGCAGCCACTGGATTTCCCATCAGATGTCATACCACAAGCCGGGAGTGTGGCTGCAGCCAAATCAAATTCAAATGCCCATGGTATAGCCCCCCTTCCCAGAATATTACAGCTCCCCTGTCCCAAGTCCTGCTTTGATGTGTTCCAGCTTCAAGCAGACCTGTGGTTGGGCTGGAGAAGGTGCATCAGGATGCTGGATGAGTATCTGACCCTGTTCAGGATGAGACGTCACCATTGTGCTTGCTGAACCCACCACCATGCCACTGCCGTTTAGTGAGGAAGTAACTCCTTGCGTCAGACTGGCTTTTAGCCTCTGTAAGGGGACAAAAACAAAACAAAATCAGGAGAGGCCCAACCATTTTTTTCTCCTTTACTGAGGGGACACACACACACACACACACACACACACACACACCCCTCTTTACTACAAAGATGCAGGCTGTTGAGAATGAAGCCTGGCCAGACTCTTTAGGAAATGCTGATGATAGCCAGGTTTCTATTTCAAGGCAAGACATCATCATGATGTCAGGACACAAGATAGATGCAAGCAGAGGGAGGGACCATACATGTAGCTACCATTTTCAATGAAGATCACAGGCAACTTGCAACATCTAGCCCCAGCTAAAACTGACAACTGAGCTAATGAAGCCTAAACGTTTATCAATGCATTTGCTCACGTTCATTCTCTGGCTCTCCAAAACCATCCTTTGATTTTGTGTGCTACCCGCACACCTCTCTTCACACCTCTCCCCACCCTTCTGTCGTCTCCCACTCAGTTTCTAAATTTAGACTGCAAAGCTACTTGGAGAACGGATGTGTCTTTTTTTCTTTACGATGACAGCATCACCTGAATCTTATAGATCAGTTGGCTTCCTTACTAAAGTACAGAGAGGCCCCTGAGGTTAGAATTCTATTTACTTATAGCAGCTTTTTGTATTATATTGAAAATGAAGGGCAGAAATTCATTCATTTTCATGTTTGTTCCCTCTTTTCCTACTGTCCTCCCTAAGGACTGTAGCACAGGGACACCGGTAGCAGCAGTGAAGAGCAGACTGAAAGACTAATCTGTGAATCTGGAAATCATAAGAAACCGCAGGTTACTTCTGTGGACAAGCATTCACATCGCTAATATTCACAGCTACCCTCTTCCCTAGTTTTCATAATGTATTTTGGGCATTGAACTTTCCTGACAGTGTCTAATATCCGCTAGGGGAATGAGGGGGCTTCATAAATGTACCTAGGTGTCACAAGAATGCCTGAGTTGCCTCCATCTGAATGTTGCTCTCTGTTCTGCCCTTTCCTTATCCTACCCTTTTCTAGCCCACTCTACTTTCCCTAGGGACACGGGTGGCGCTGTGGGTTAAACCACAGAGCCTAGGGCTTGCTGATCAGAAGGTTGGCGGTTCGAATCCCCGCGACGGGGTGAGCTCCCGTTGCTCGGTCCCTGCTGCTGCCAACCTAGCAGTTCGAAAGCACATCAAAGTGCTAGTTGATAAATAGGTACCGCTCCGGCGGGAAGGTAAACGGCGTTTCTGTGCGCTGCTCTGGTTCTCCAGAAGCAGCTTAGTCATGCTGGCCACATGACCCGGAAGCTGTAAGCCGGCTCCCTCGGCCAATAAAGCGAGATGAGCGCCGCAACCCCAGAGTCAGCCGCGACTGGACTTAGTGGTCAGGGGTCCCTTTACCTTTACCTACATTCCCTACAAGGATATACACTATCCCACCCAGTTATAGGCTATGTAACTTGCACCAACAGACTACAAATTGCTGTCTTTTAGGGGAGAAGGTAAAGTATACGGCACTCTCTTTTAACTGCTAGTGGTTTCAGTGTTAACAGAAAGTGTTAACGGAAAAACAATAACCCGAATGTGACCACATGCAGAGTGACCACATGCTTTGAGGTTATCCCCCATGAGAAAACTGTGTTAGGGGGCAATGTCGGGGGGCCAACCACGGCTGCATCTCATTTCCTAAAATCGTACTCTAGGCAAGCTTGCCGATTCTGTTGTTATCTAATGCAACTCACCATTTTAGCTTCTGAGTGCACTGGAAGGCCTGATGGTGAAATGGAGCCGCTGCTGATAATTGGAGGGCCGGGAATACCAGGAATGTTTGGCACCACAGATATAGGCCTTGCCAGCTATAAGTTGGAAGGGGAATGGAAAACACCTTGTATAAGTTAAGCAGTTTTGTTGATTAACTCCTACAGTGAAGGAGAAGGGGTGGGCGAGAAAGCTTGCTTGATAAGCTGTACATGTTAGAAATCTAATCACCAGTGTTTGAGAGATAAAAAGAAACAAACATTGGAGCAGCTTAACAGAGCAGAGGAGTACCAACGGCAGTTTCAGGAAAGTTAGACATTGCAGGAAAGAGAAAACACCAATGCTTTCTTTCGTCTCCTCTGAACCATTTCACGCATTATGCTGCAGCAAATCTCAGCACTGAGCTACGGCCAATCCTAGATCTAATATTCCCATTTATGCTTGAGATTTTTAGGTGTACAATATCTTAAATGTACACTGCAAAACGGTAATGTACAATCCAGCCAACAGAAAGCTTTTACCATGAAATTAGGTACTTCTAGCAACAAAAGAGTAGAGTTCTGGATCCAGGCCAGCTTGACTACTAACCCCACCATATCAATTCAGTAGTATTGTGCTTGGAGAGCAAATGTGGTATAATGGCTTCAGGGGGTCTTTGGACTGAAGATGCCCAGGCTTAAAGCCTCATTCAGCAACAAAACTCGCTGGATGTTGTTGGGCTCATAATCCTCTCTCAGTCTAATCTATTTAACAGGGTTGCTATTATGGAAATACATAACAACAATATATAAACCTGCCTGAACTCCTCGTACTAAGGGCAAGATAAAAACTGCTACTAATCATTACAATGCGGAGAAAAGCTTCTGAGGACACCCTTGGGATTTATTTTCCTTTCTGCAATTCTTTGTGGGGTGCACCACCCTTTTTGCATTTTTACAATGGGCACACTTAACTTCCCTAGGAGTAGAAGAGAGAAAGTGACAGGTGGCCAGCTAGAATTCATGCAGTATTTCTGAGATAACCTGGAGAAAAGGCAGTTAAGTGCCCAAACTAGATTTTCAGATTTATAGAGCTTCCCCTCAGACAATTCTAATTTCCAACACATGGCAGAAACTTTCTGAACACTTAAATAGAGGAAAAGTACAACCCACAAAGAAACAGAAAAGTGGATTTGTATAGCACAGTCAGCAGCAGAACCAGTGCAAACTGCACCAGAAGGTACTTGCATTTGTCAATCACATACCCCAAGAAAATTCATTTGCAGAAATAAAAGCTAAATAACCATTTCATGCCCCGAAGAGGCCAGAGAGGGAGTTTTTCTGGCTTGGAAAGGCCAACATGTTCTCTGTAAGCTTGAATGATTTCAGCATAGAGCTAGCTAATCAGAGAGCCTGCAGTTCCCAGCCTTGGAACCAACAGTGTCTGCCATCTGCTCAGATGAAGATTCAGTTTTGAGCCTCCCCCCCCCCCAGCAATGTGATTGGCAGGTGCTGCTAACTTGCAGGCTGGTGGCTCCCTCAACCCCCACATCCTCCCCGCTAGCCCAGGCTTATCTCACATGGAGGGGCAGAGAGAGATGTCAATTTTGCAAATTAAAGTGCTCGCATATGCTCTACAAAGGGGGAAAACTGTCCCTTCCTTTATCAAAAGTAGCCAGGCTGGAAGCTTCTATTACCGATATGACAGAAGGCATCTGAACGGGAGGGCCAGGAAGGACGGGCATGGTCTGTCCATTCACAAGGTGCATGACAAGTGGTACAGAGCTGGTGGGAGATCTGCGAGAAAACAAAAGACAAACACAAAACATATTGCAGTCCAGTTTGTGAGTACTATCAGAAATCCCCTGCCCAACACATCTGAGACACAGGTGATCCCATGTGACATGCAGAGCCCCCTTCCGCTTCCTAAACTCTCTACTGAAAAGCTGAGCATCTCTGCTCTGGCAATAGCAGAGTTAGCAAACATAATATTTTTCAAACATTATTTTTTTTGAATTGCTAAATAATTGGCTTCCATGCCGGAATATACATGGGTTACAAAAGCACAGGTGCTCCCAGCTTACATAGATCTGCTCAGGTTTAGACAGAATGTGCAAAGATATTCAAATTTCCTGATATTTGGCTTGATAATTACAACTTTCCAACCAGCATCCATCACCTGAGCTTATTATGGATTAGAGAGATGTGCAACAGAAAGAGAGACGCACGCTTTCAGGCAGAGCGCCATCTCGTCAGGTGTAAAGTTCACTGGCCTTTCAACCCCAGCGCATGTGCAATTACAAGAGTAGATGGTCCAAGGGCCATGTAGGGTTGGCAGTAGCATTTTAAATAGGAGCCATACTTACTGAGGTCTCAAGTTGCAGAGAGATAGCTCTCCAGATGTACCTGAACTGCTAGCTGAAGGAGGCATTTTGAGATTGTAACATTGGGTCTACTGTGAAGGTCCATTTCCTGCAGGGAATGGAGGGGGATCCTTGGAGGGCCAACCCATCCAAAGATCCCCTCCTTCCTGCAGGAAAAGAAGTCATTACCCAGAGAGAGGATCCATTTCAGGGCCAAACTAGTCTTCATATGGCAGAGATGTGAAGCAACCTCCTAACGGATCTCATATATGGAAGAAAAGCCATGGAAGGTCACACAGAAGTTGTGGAATAGCCAAGAGGGGGGCTGCTTAACGCTTCCAGCATAAAAAAAATACAGTGGTACCTCTGGTTGCGAATGGGATCCATTACGGAGGCCCGTTCACAACATGAAAAGAGCGCAACCCGCAGCGATGCGTCTGCGCATGTGCGGGTTGCGATTCGCTGCTTCTGTGCATGCGCAAGCGGTGAAACCCAGAAATAACCCTTTCTAGTACTTCCGGGTTGCTGCAGGACGTAACCTGAAAGGACGTAACATGAGATATGACTGTAGCTGAGAGGGGAATAATTGAGTAGCTACCATTTCTTCACTCAAAAGTCTTAAATCCTGTGGCTCTTTTTCATTTTTAAAAATACATCTATCGTGTATGTATTACATGTATTACATCTACATGCATTTGCTGCAGTTTGGCTCTTGGCCTCTGGGAAGGAGAGGAGGAGTGGTTTTAACTCCCTCACGACAAGAGCTGTTCCCTGGATCCCAGTCTTAGTCAGGAGATGGTTCTAGCTAGATCTGGAAACCTGAACAAGCCACAAATTCAAGTAAGAAGGTTTTCTAAAGTTAAAGAGAGGGAGCTATAACAGTTCAAGTAAGGGTCCAAGAAGCTGGAGCCTTTTACAGAAGAAGACTGCTCAGCCTTCCTCTATTCAAGGGAAGGAGACTGCAGGAGTGACACCGGAAACTTTTTAAGTAGACAGATACGAGGCTGAAGCCTTAACTTGCGGCAAAAGTGTTATGCATGAGACATAGTTTAAGTTTGATGGTTCTCCCTGTCCCTTCTCAATCTTTAATTTGCTGTCTCTCTGTGTCAATTCTTCATGTACTAAATGATTTAACAGTCCCTAGGATCCTATTTCCCCCTTTGTGTCTGCTCTTGTGCAGGTTCATACACAACTGGCAAATTCTACAAAATCTAAAATCATGAGATTTGCAGGAGAAACTCCTGGCCATTCACTGATTGCCTCTTAAGGTCCCTACACCTCCCCCCCCCCACTCCCGATCTCCTTACTTACCCAAGCTGTCTGTTGGAAGGTGGAGCTTGGGTGATGACAGAAGTTGGAGAAGGGAGAGTGGGATGCAGAGGATCATATCCTAAGTGCAGTGGAAGTGACCCAGGGCGTACAATGGTTGGAGTAGGCGTAGAAATGATAACAGGCTTTGAAGCACTCTCCTAAGAAAGATGCACATACTCAATGAATGCCAGGCATTATCATTTTGTGGGACTAATAATGCATCCCTCCTACCAACCCTCATTATTGCTAGGACTACCACTCCTGGGAAATCTGAAGCACAGAAACTTAGCTTCAGCTGTACCCACAGAAACCAAAAGTGCTAAATCCTGTGTCGAGCATGAGATAATAATCACACACTCAATAGCTGAAATTCGCAAGAAGCAAATAAGCTTTGTAAATATACATTAAATTCAACAGTAAAAAAAGGGGGGAGACACACAAAGGAAGGAACCCAAACCATTCACATCCATTGCGGCTAGATATAAATTATGCAAGTATTACTTAAGAACATCACTTGGCATCAAAAGGCACACCCAGTTGTTTTAAAATCATGTGCCATCATACCAGATAATTTGTTCTAATTGCAAAATAATAGAGAAGTGCGGATGGATGAGATTTGCAGGACATCTGCAGGATACATTCCAGGGGAGAAATGAAGGCCATTAAAAGTTACAAAGCAATCCATTTCACCAAAGTGCCTCAACGACTCACAGAACTTTGAGCAGAAACTCCCTTTATCTTTTCAAGTGTCTCAGCTGGGACACTAAATCCTGATGAATGCACCAGGACTGTAAATCTGCAAAATGCTCCTGACGTAGGGAGTGATCTGGGGTGGCTTCAGATAACAGTGTGCACCATGGCATCTTCTTACCAGGCCTCAACAAATTCGCATTTTCTGTATGTTTGTTTCTGTCTACTCTGCTCACAGTGAAGCTAGAAGATGCAGATTGCCACCTCTCAGCTACTAAGTTTGCAGGGAGCCAGAATAGTGAAAATGGTTCTCTGAATCCAAGCCCAATGCCTCTATCAAGGGAGGCACGAACCTTTAAAAATAGTTAACACCAACCAAGCTTCTACAAACTTCATTCTGTCAAAGCTTTGCCTTACTCTATGGGCCTGCTTCAGGTGCATCTTGCAGCCACCCCCAGCCCATGCTGCTTGTGGGAGCATGTGGGGAGATACATAGCTGGCCATCAATTGCATGATCAACACACCTTTCATGTGTCCACCCATGAAATGGAGAAGCTGGCTCTTACAATTGGCACTCTCATGTCATTATAGAAGTCTAGCTGTAGCCCTCTGTGTGCGGGGGCCAAAAGGGCACATTCTACTGAATCTCCTACAACTACGCCAGTATAAGCATAAAAGATAATGAACACATATCTGCCATTTCTGATAGAAGACGGGTTTTTTTTAAATATAAATTTAAAAAGTGGGTGAATGCCATTAAAAACAGATGAAAAGACAACTCACGAAAGCTCACCTTCTCCTTGGCTTGCGGTGACTGTGGACTCGCTACCGGACTATCAGGAGGTGAAGAGTCCACTTCAACTGGTTCTTCCTCTTTTATTTTGATGTCTGGGGTAGAAGGTAGAGACATATCGAGGGGTCCAGAACACTATGGAAAAGCAGAATACATACTTTAGGGCTTTGCCATCAGGCTGCCTGGCTGATCTGTTCGCCTTCCCCAGCCCCAGGCTCCCACTAGCTTTTGCACGCTAAGAGAGGAAGCACTCAGAATGCTGAGACTGCATGTCAATATGGAGAAGCAAAGATACCATGTATGGTGCAGGAGCAGCTCTGCCCTTCACTAAGGTGTATTCCTTCTTCTCCCAGGTGAAGGCCAGACTGCATGGCTTTTCTAGCAACTCATATCAAGGATGCATATTTTTTAAAAAGCAACACATTGTTTTTGAGATTCTGCAAGTTAATTCTCACCCAAGCAACTTCCCCTGACTTTTTTCTTCCGCCAAGCCTTGGCAATATGAAAAGAAAGCTAAAATGTCTGTCGGTCACAAAAGGCACTTTCATTCGCAGAAGCGCTGCAACCCACTATATAAGTCATTTTTGAATTATTGCTTGATTTATCAAAAGCCAACAAGAGAGCCATACGAGTTATTGCAAATCTATGACCAGCCCATTGTAATAAAACCTCACCATATGCCTGAACCTGGAACCATGCCACCACACCTCTTTTCAACAGCGCTACATGGCCCTTTCCAATTTTATTAACAGCAGCTTGTTGCCTTCGTAGATCAATGGGTCAAAGCAATAGCAAAAGGAAATGGCAAAGCTAGGGACTTGGGAGTGTGCGCGGCAAAGCAGGAAAGAGTCAAAGCACATCAAGTAGTCCTCAAGCAATCAAAAACAGCACAATGCTTCCTCCGGTTCTTGGATGGAGCTCCTCTGGAACACGCCAAGAAGATAAAAACAAGGTATAATGAGCGCTGGGAAGAAACAGGCAAGAGAGCATGAGGAGCAAGCCATCATTTGGTGTATTCAAGTCAGGGAACTGCTTTTAGTGGCTACCTAGAAAAAACATGGATCGTATATCTTGTCTTGTTGCTTCTCATTCCTTTGTTTGGCTGCTAATCCCCCCCCCCAAGCTAAATTCCTCTGCTTTCTACTGTGCTATACTTTGAGGGTGGGTTATCCTCCTTTAATCTCCTACCTCCATTGCTTACTATAATTTCCCCTCAAGCCCCCACTTCTATTACCAGCTTCTTCCGAGCCAACATAATACCAACTATGAGCTGTGTGGCACTTCCTGAAACCATTGTTCTTTAGCACAGGCTCAGAGTTATCTATCCTGACTGGCAAAGGTTCCCCAAATCACAGGCAGGGAGTAACCTCAATGCTTTTATTTTTTTGTTTAAACTATGGATGCCAGGGAATGAGCCTCTTGGGGCTTCCTCCTTGCAAAGCATGGAGATAAACCATAGTTTATCTTAAGAATGCTACAATTCAGAATATGCTTTTTTGTAGAAATAAAATGCCACTGATTTCAGAGAGAGCAATTTCCAAGGGAGTATGCCGAGGAAAAGGTCCTGAAAGCCACTCCAGATTCTGGAGCAAATTTATTTGCGTAGGGTTATAGGCTTGTTAATTTCTTGACAGTTTAACACCCGGACACTTGAGAGGAAAGTCATGAGGGTTGCGCACTGTAAGTTTAGGGAGTCTGAAGGAGGCCTTTGCAACTGAAGCCCCCTTGGCCAAACGTAGCCCACTAAGAAATGTTGCCCCCCCCCCCGTTGCCAACCTAGAGCAGTATGGAAAAAGTGGCCTGTGTGGAAAATGAACTTGAAAGAAGACCATTTTATGAGAAGTCACTTAAAGTGTGGGCCGCCACCCTTCTCTTAGAGAACTGGTGTGCCTTAGATAATCTGGACATGGCCACATCTCTTCTACAGTTCTGTACAATACACACTACAACAGATTCTTCTAGTCCCCGGAGGATGACCAAGTGGAAGGTCACTAGCCAGGAGACAACTCATTGGGAAAGTTGTCAACCACAGCTCACTCCACTGATTCTGCTGTGACAGGCCAGCTCCATCAGGCCTCCTCTCCCCTCAATGGTCATTTGGGGGCAGCCATTCCAGCTGCCTCAGTGAGCGGGCTAAGAAGCAGGTCTCATTTCATGAGCTTCACTGAAGGCCCAGCTCCATCAGGTACCTCCTTCCCCCAACTGTGCCAGCTGGTCATCATAGGAACATCTGGTGTAGGAACCTGGTGCCCAAGCTTTCATTTAGATTTTTCCTCTTTTCTCACTGTCCTTGTCCCTTGCATGTCATGTTTTTGTTTTAGATCATATGCCTGCGGGTAGGGATTCCCTTGTTTGGATTGCATGTAAGCTGCTCTGAAGCCTTTTTTGGCTGAAGAGTAGGGTACAAATGCTATAACTACATAAAATAAACACAGTCGTACCTTGGATCCTGAACCCCTTGCAAGTCAAACGTTTTGGCTCCCAAACACCGCAAACCTAGAAGTGTTCTAGTCTGCGAACGTTCTTTGGAACCCGAACGTCTGACACAACTTCCGCGGCCAGGGCCCGATTTAGGTTTGATGAGGCCCTAAGCTACTGAAGGTAATGGGGCCCTTTATATGTCCAGCTGTCCTTTGTCAACAACGAACTGTCTATGTTTTTTTGTGTTGAATATATGCTGTATGGTAATTTATGGACCTAATAGGTATCTAAAGCCATTTGCACATAACGAATAGGAGCCTACACAACACAAAACACTGTTGCTGTATGTAGGTTTCATTTTAGTTTTTTATCTTATATTTTTGGAAATGTACATCCAGGTTTTTTCCTTTAATTTGGGGTCCCCAAGTGAGTGGGGCCCTAAGCTATAGCTTGTTTGGCTTATACGTAAATCCGGCACTGTCCGCGGTTTCCGATTGGCTGCAGGAGCTTCCTTGGTTTCCAAACGTTTTGGAAGTTGAACGGACTTTCGGAACGGATTCCGTTCAATTTCCAAGGTACTGCTGTACGTTATAATGCAGACAGGAGAGGAAGCATAAACTATGATGAGAGGAGCTGCTCCAACAAAGACTCATGTCTTCTACATATATGCCTTTGAATAACCTGCACTAACTATCACTACAGACATTTTATAATTAAGGAAAAAGTTTAGAGCTCCCAGAGAGAACCAACATATACCAGTTAAGAATGCTGGCCTAGGGATGGAGGAGGTTATTTCTGATTCAATGCCTATTTCATCACGAAGCTCACCAGCCAGTTATTTTTCAGATTAAACTACTGCACGAGCTTGTTATGAGGACAAAATTTGGGTGAAGGGGAGGAGACAGTAATGTCACCAACCTGAGTAACTGGGAGGATGGAATAAACACAAACAGCTGCCTCCCTTGCTACATGTGCTTCCAGATGTCATGCCCATTTTGCTTCCTGCTGCGTGCAAAGGAAGCGCCTCAGAATCTAGGAGCGAATGGCACAATGGTTGGCATCCCAAATGCATGGATTACACATGACTAGCGCAGTGACTGGGAAGACCAATCACCCACAAAACAGCGTGTCTGGAAATACCCTCTCTGCATTTAATTACCACAAAAAAACTCTTGTGGCTGGAGCTATCCAGGACAAAAAATAAATAAAAATAAAATCCCACACGAACTAAAACGAGCTCCAGCAACTGGACTCAACTCAGCCAAATGTTCAAAGCATCTCATGAATGTGCCCAGCAGCTCCTGCCAAGTTTTCTGAATAGCAAACCAGCTGGATCTAACAATCCAAGTCAGTACTAGAAGGGGTAATTCCTTCGGCCTGCTTTGAGCCAAGCTTTGAACTGCGGCAGTCTCTTGTTGGAGGTCAGAAATATTAAGCCTGAGCCCTATTAAACAAGAAACAAACTTCCAGCAATCTAAGAATTCATAATGGTAGCTATTAAAAACAGTACAACACCAGGATTATGGGTGGTCTTAACATATAAAATATCTGGCTAGACTGTGGGTTGTCTACCATTTCATTAAAAAAACAACCCTCAAAATAAATGCTAAGATTAAGATTCTGTGCTGAAATAATAAAAAATGTAACACGGAAGGACCACCTTGCTGTGAAATGACACTGCTCCGAAAGGTGAGACTATTGCAGCAATACATGGCTGAGAGATCCATGGTACTTCTTTGATTTACATAGAAAATATTTAAGTGAGAGGGATAAAAGCCCAGCTGGTCATCATTCCTTTAATTTTTGGCTGCTAAATGGATTTGTTTTGTTTTACTGTTTTGTTTTAATTTTTTGCCACGTAATTGTAACTATGTAAGCTGCTTTGGGGGCCTCTTCAAAAGAAAGAAAAGCAAGAGGTATTTTATATCTATATATCTGAATTCCCAAAGACACAGTCTTTGGAAAGACATTAATGTAATTTGATTTACACAGCTGAGAAACAAGATGATTGAATACAGAGGTCTACTTGTTTAGCAAGCAGAATTCAGTCTGGAGAAAAACAAAACAAAAGGAGTTGCACTAAAGATGTGTTACCCAAGTTTTCTTTTCAGAATGCCCTGAAACACAAAACAAACCCTGAACAAATTTTAAATGTAGTTTCATGAAAACTGATATTCAAAGAATTCTGGGAAGAAACTTGGGTAGTGCATATATTTTGTTTTGGCTTTGCAATTTCATTCATTCCTTACATGGCTGTTCTGAAACCTAACTTCAGCAATGGCTGGAACGGGCTCCAAAGTTTGCAATAAATAATAATAATAATAATAATAATAATAATAATAATAATAATAATAAATAATCCCTCCCATAGGTTTCTTTTAAAGAATGCAAGAAAATCGCTCTATTTAGTCAACATGGTAAATATTTTGCTCTCTACTGGAAATCTAGTGGTAGGCAATTTAGTTCACAGATAAATTGGAAAAAGAGTTTTGTCTGAAGACTTCATTCAGGCTTCTAGATCACTATAGCCATTCAGACTGCTGCTATTATTATTATTATTATTATTATTATTATTATTATTATTATATATAATAATTAGATATAATTACATTTAATATAACAATTATGCAATTATATATACACATATATTTAATTATGCTGATAATAAGAATGGCTAGCTTCTACATTCCAAAAGTGGTACCCTTTCCATCTCAAGTAGGACAAAGACATTTCAATGCACTCCAAATGCCATGCTTGTTCACCGGCAGACAGGTGGGCTGCTGTTCCTTACTCCAGGGCTGAAAAATAGCCTACAGAAGTGATCCCTCTCCCTTATTGCCTCAATGGCCGTAGCTGGACCCAGTGCTTGGATAAAGGTCAGGTCTCAACACTGGGGGTAAGAAAGCTTCCCTGTGTTTCATCCTCTCACAGCAACCCACTAACTTCAGTTTAGTTACAATGCAATTTCTCTGGGCAGAAAATTGCACGTGGTACTTTACGTGCCTGTCATTATTGATGCCAATCAAGCATTTAAATGCTAGCATGCATTCACAAAACAGAAAGGTGATGTGGCTGTTGTTGTTTTTACTCAAAGTGCCCTTAACCATCTGACTGCTATAAGCAATGAATGAACCACTGTATGCAAAACACAAGCAAAAAGGACCAAAGGCATGGAGCTACAAATAAGAACTTTGCACACAGCTCTTGTCCCCAGCTTAGGAAGCAAGATGAAGACAAAACTATGGCAGATCTGGGAAAGTTGCTGGAAGTGAGCGCAGATAGTACCAAACTAGATTGCCTATTGATCTGACTCAATATAATGCCATGATTTCACGACTACCATGTGGCATCATATGATGCACTCAGTGCAGGCCACTGTTGGAGCAAAATGCGACAGTAGATGAACCCTCTTGGCTCGTAATGTTTGCTGATGCATGCATCTTAAAATCCCAAGATGAACATAATTTAAGGACACTATGGAACAACAAATCCCCTTACAGCTCTCAAAATTTTAGCTCAATGAAAACCCTTAGCCTCTTGCCTTTTTCTCATCATCTTCTGTGGCTTTCTTGAAGTCATGTTCAAATGAGCTTGCCAACTCATTGAAGAGGCCAACTTCCTCACAGTTCTTCAAAAAACGGGTTGGTGTCGGTGTCTGATCTGTTTAGAGAGCAAAAGACAATGAAAAACAAGTTCAAATCAAAATATTTTCACAGAATAAGAAGCCTGGGATTATTTATTCATCATAGAATTTCCTTAATGTTGTTTTCAGCCTGTATTTAGGTGGCTAAAATTATACATTTTACACACACATTTCAGGGATCATATATTTGAATTTTTTTATAATAAAAGAACAGGAACAGCCAGCTGCAGATTACTTCAATTCAGATAGTCGGCACATCTCAGATTTGTCAGTTATTGCCATCTAATCCAAGAACACCGGAAATAAGAGAAAGCTTCTGGGTATATGGATCTTACACCATAACACTACATAGGCTCAACCCAAATGATAACACCTGACACCACTCATCTACACAAAAGCCACATTTCTGAATATTTGTGCTTCGGTATTCTGTAACTGCCACCTTGACTATATTATTGATTCGTATTGGAGCAGCTGAAGAAGAAAGAAGCTGTAATGGTTTGTTTTAAAACGTTAATATCTCTGTTAAATTACACACACAAATCTGATCGTAAGAAATCCTTCTGCTGGTGCCATGGGCAGAATATGGAATTCACTATGGAAGAGGTAGGTGGACATTGTATTGTCACGGGGTTGGGGAGAATAAATGTCCACTTGGGTGGCTGTACGGGTGGAATGACAGTTTGGGCTGGGCAAAAAGCTGGACGCAGGGGCATTTTTAGAAGATGCAACTGTGAGAAGAACAGAGCCAAAGGAAAGTCTGACACTTTATCAGCTCTAGATAGCATTGCCACATGACCTAAAAGATATGCTCCAGGATCCTTTAAGCATGGGGCATACCTCTTGGATAACAAGTACTGCATTGACAACCCTAAAAAGACTGTTCCTCTAAAACAGCAGTGGGGAAGTTCTGGCACAGGTCCCAATTTGAGCTGCAAGGCTGTTTTCCCCAAACCATCCCACTATATAGCTAACATCGTAAGTGATGTCAGGTATGGGGCAGGCAGACATGGCTGGAACAGCTGAGCAACTAAATTCCCCGTGGGGAACACCATTGGCCAACTGATCCCTGCACTGTAGGAAATAAATGCTGATCAGGTCACCTCAGTGTCTCTTAAAGGGCTCACAGCCTTGGTTAACTCATATAACAGTATTCTGGCCCATTCCATCTGGCCCAGCCTAAATATCATTGAGAAAACATATCTGTCACTTGTGAAGGGCTTCACCCTTTTGTCAATCGTCTCACTAATATCTTTTAAGTGCAAATTTAAGGCAATCTACAATTTAAGAGGGACACGGGTGGTGCTGTGGTCTAAACCACAGAGCCTAAGGCTTGCTGATTGGAACGTCAGCGGTTCAAATCCCCACGATGGGGTGAGCTCCCGTTGCTCGGTCCCTGCTCCTGCCAACCTAGCAGTTTGAAAGCATGTCAAGTGCAAGTAGATAAATAGGTGGGAAGGTAAACGGCGTTTCTGTGCACTGCTCTGGTTCGCCAGAAGTGGCTTAGTCATGCTGGCCACATGACCCGGAAGCTGTCTGCAGACAAACGCCAGCTCCCTCGGCCTATAGAGCGAGATGAGCGCGCAATCCCAGAGTCGTCCGCGACTGGACCTAACGGTCAGGGGTACCTTTACCTTTCTTTTTATACCTTTTAATTTTTACTATTAGCTCCTACGTATCTGTTTAAGAACATTTATGGCACATCAGTGGCCTAAATAAGCCTACCACCAATTCTCTTCCAAATTACAAAAATCTTAATGAATTGTAATTAATTGCTTTACCAACATCCCCTGCCCCCCGAAAACCCACCTATTCCTAATTGCCTAGAGATGAATCTTACTTGCCATAGAGAAACTGGAAGAGTGACTATTTAGAAAGAATCAGTTGCTTCACTTCTGCTCCCAAATGCCTATTTCCAACTACTACATGAACTTGTTTCTGCTTCATACCTAAAGTGCAGTGTACATTCTGCACTAAGATAAAATTGATTTTTTTAACCCTGTCTGCGTCAAGTAAAACAGCGTTCTGAATTATGTATATTTGGATAGATATGCTCATTATGCATAACCCGTTTTGCTGCTGTTAGCTATGGGAAAGGGAAGCAATTACTTAGTTAGTTATACATAGTCACAATAAATTGCTCACAGCTTATTTTCAAATCCATGAAGGCTAAAGCCATGCTCCACCCCCTCCCACAAAGGCACTTGGTGCAGTATAGCTGCAGAAAGATGGGATACAGATTGCCTTGGTGAAAATCTAGGTCCCCATAACTCGGATTTTGCTGGACTTTTTACTAGGTTGGCAAGCTCAGAATCTCAAGGGAACCTTCTGTTTGCAAATTACATTATATGGTCACACAGAGAGAAAAGTCTGATTTGTTCTTGCTGGGAGAGACAAGCTGTGTGGGCTGATATTTTCAGGATGTTTGCAAGGACTGGAGAGGAGTTCTGAGTGACTCATCTATTTTACTGCATAACTGCCGCAAGAGGAATAAATGACTTGCATCTCCTACCCTTGAAATGGTCGCTATCAGCACCACAATGCACAACTGGAGATGATGGCAGTTGTCAACACTGGAGCACCGTGGATAATTTCGTGCTTGACAAAAGGACTAAAAAAAACCGTGAAAACCCGATTTGCTCTGTCCTAGCTCCAGCTGTTCATACCCACAATACTATGCACAATTCTTCCAGCAGTTCCTTTATATGTCAGGAAGAAAACGTTCCAAGAGGAAGAAGGATTCTGCTTGTAATACATTAGCACCTGGTGAGAAGAGGGTGGCTACAAAGAACCAAATGGTGACTTCTGAACTTTTTATATAGCAAGTGTAAAAAAAAAGAAAAAAAAAGGACTGTATCAATAAGTGCACCTAAGAGGTATTTCCTGTCAGTGCTGAGGGAATGAAATAAACCACACCTGCCAAAATTCTACAAGTTTTACAACTGTCACAAGGCTCAAAAGCTCTTTCCTACATCCATCCTGTGGAATACAGGCAATTGTTTTAAGCGCTTCCAGTTGTTAAGTGACCATGCATATTGGCATCGGGCAGCCCGTGGAAGTGTTCAGGAAAGGGGGCATAACAGGGCATGGGCAGGTTTACATATGTTCCACCAATGAGCAGGGAGGGGTGGTCAGGAACGCAACCCCTGCGCAAAACTGTCGTTGCCTGTATACGGAAAGCAAATGGAAACATGCATGTTAATTCACAAATAATTTTTTGGCAGATGTAGATGTTGGAGCTGGCCGACCTGACTGGAAGAATCTGCGACCAGAAAGAAGAGGAGATCCAAGAGGATTGGAAGAAATTCAGAGAATATTTAGCTAAATACCGTAATATAAGATAAATAGAAAATCCTTGGAAGTAACAAATAGGCCTAGGGGTAGAATAAGGATATGTGGTAGTAAACATTGAGGATTAGAAGATTAATAAAGGAGAAGAGATTAGTAAATGAAAGGAGTTAATATTATTAGAAATATGAACTTGGAGAACTGTTATAAATGTAAAAAATAAAATTCAGTTAGAGGGGATTTGAGGAAGTCAGCCATCAATGCTATGAGAATTAGGTATTAGAAGGAATAAACTTTTTGTGTTTAATTTTATTGTATTTTAGAGTGATTTTCTTTGTTGCGTGTTTTGGGTTTCTTTGTTATGTCATTCTGTGATAAATGTGTAAATTCAATGAAAAAATTTGGAAAATAAAATTCACAAAGAATTTTTTTTATCCCACCTTTTAGGGTGTTCACTCTCCCAAGGTAGCTTACAGCACAATCAGTAAAAACAATAAAATTATAAAATATTAAAACAATAAAGCAACCAACAACACTCAAATAACAGTAATTGATAAATACATTATTAAAACAGAGTGCCATGTGAATAAGGTGTTGTCAGCAGCATCTTTACATATCTGGTTGTTAAGACATGATGGTTGGAAAGATATATGTCCCCCTGCTTGTCTGCTACAGTCCGCCTTTTTTCGTACTCCCTTATGTTTGATTGGCCTCTAACCAAACACAATGGTATCAAACATACCAGCATTCACTGATGAACTGTTAACAGTGTGGGTGGATGGTTAGGTTGGGTAGGATTTTTTTTACTTGACTTTCTTCACCTTTGTTTTCCATGTTGCATATCTAAATAAACGCCTTATAAACAAACAAACAGCCACCGTGCCATAAAAATCACCCAAAACAGGCTGGAATAAAAAGTTTTTAGGAGGTGGATATGTAGCTTCTTGGCGAGATATTGCTCAGACTGGATCAGCAGAAAAGGTCCTGTGCCAAGTAGGTCTGGGCAATATCTGGTTTTCAACATTACATTATGCAGTATCACGATGTTTGAAATAAGGATGAAAATATGTAACAGCTAACAGAGTATTGTCTAGGCAACTGCTACTTCTCAGAAGCCTGAAATTTATACATTTTTAATTACCTTTTAATATTTTAAATATTGTTACAGTGGTACCTTGGTTCTCAAACGCCTTGGTTCCCAAATGCCAAAAATCCGGAAGTAAGTGTTCCGTTTTCGAACATTTTTCGGAAGTCAAACATCTGATGCAGCTGTTGGCTATTGTTTCCGGGGCACCTGCACCAATCAGAAGCTGTGCCTTGGTTTTCAAACATTTTGGAAGTCAAGCAGACTTCCGGAATGGATTAAATTTGGTGCTTTAGTTTTTGCTATTTGTTTTTGTTTTTGAGGCTTTTTCGATTAATTTGTTTTTGTGACTGTATGGAACCCAGTTCAGCTACTGATTGATTAATTGTGTGACTGTGGAAATGGATGAAAAAACCCCATCCAAACAATGATTATCATCAGTGCAGGTAAGAAAATTTTAATTTTTATCATCCACAATGTTGTTGTTTAGTCGTTTAGTCGTGTCCGACTCTTCGTGACCCTATGGAGAATGGACAATACTCTTTTATTTATTTTATAGTACAGTTGCTTTCATTTTATTGCTTTCATTTTATGGATCAACGGTCTCGTTAGATAGTAAAATTCATGTCAAATTGCTGTTTCAGGGGTTGTTTGTAAAAGTCTGGAATGGATTAATCCGTTTTGCATTACTTTCTACGGGAAAGTGAGCCTTGGTTTTGGAGTGCTTTGGCTTTGGACTGGACTTCTGGAACGGATTAAGTTTGAGAACCAAGGTACCACTGTGTACCACTGTTATTTTATAGAACAGAGCAACAAGGGGCGGCAGGAATCATGAGAGAAGTGATGACCACCTTCACAGTTTTCCCCACATCGTGATTTTTTACACAGCACACACAAACATTGTGATTCACAGTATATTGCCAAGTCAATGGAAGTGGATATAGGCTGCAGGGTTAGAAGTAGAAAATAATGTATTTTAAAATAGTATTATTTGTAAGTGAAATGTGAAGATGGTTAGAAATTATGATATATGTAAACTGCTAAAGATGAGGTAAAATGAAAATCAGATAGCGGGGACTTGGGGAAGCCCATCTAACAATGTTTAGAAAAAATAAGGATAAGACAATAATCTGTTTGTATTGTTTGTTTTTCTGTCTGTGTTGTTTATTTGTGTTCTAAAATGAATAAAAAAATTTTTTGGGAAAAAAAGTATATTGCCAAGTCAGTATTATGAAACGGTTATCACGATGTTGACTACAAACCGGTTTTGGACGATATATCGATCAGCCCTAGTACCAAGCCCTGTCCCTGGTACTCGCTAACTTCATAGCTCTCACTGCTGGACTAGAGAGCAGGGTCTCTGATGCTGATCTGAAGGCGCGCGCACACATACAGACACACACACACACACAGACACACACACATACTTGGTGGTCCTTCAGACAGTGTGGTCCCAAACCATTTGCGACTTTAAAAGTTAAAACCGGGCTCTTAAATTGGTTGCCTATCTGTTTCCAGGCACAGTGTAATAAACCATTCCTGGCATTGAACGGTGTTTTATGTCTGGAGGACAAAACTCTTAAAAGTGTACTTGCTGCTGCATTCTGCACCTACTGATGCTTCAGGGCTGTCCTTCAGGGCAGCCCCACATAGAGGACATTAACAGTAATCAAACATGGCACAGACTAATTCTCAAGCAGAAACTCATGCACGGCCAGGGGAAAAATAATGCTATCCAGGGTTGTAAAGACTGCAGAGAGAATTATTGGGTGCACTCTTCCCACCTTAGATCAAATCTATGCTGCCAGGTGCCACAAGAAAGCGGCAGAGATAGCACATGATAGTACGCACCCCGGAAATGATCTCTTTCAGCTTCTGCCTTCTGGAAGAAGGTATAGGGTTATAGAGGCCAGGACTAGCCGCCTGAGAAACAGTTTCTACGCAAATGCAATTCTGGTTCTAAACGCAGCATAAGGGGTCTCTGTAGTATAGTGTATTTTAAAATGGGGTTTTAGAGTTTTTAGGGGTTTTTGAATGATTTTATGTAGTTTTTATGTAGTTTTATGTAGTTTGTATGTAGTTTTGTGGTAGTTTTATGTAGTTTTCAATTTCATTGTTCCGCAAGGGACAATGACAATAAAGATATCGTATCGTATCGTATCATATCGTATTTTTCTTCTTTCACTAATCAATAGAGAAAAAGCCATTCCATTCAATGACTGCAACCCTGCCACTTCCTTTTAAGGATTCACAAATGAAGGATAATTGACAGGGTGCGGGGACATTCCCAAACTGCAACTGCCTACAGTTTATGGCAATAGCCTACTGTTGAGACAGCCAGGTATATTTTCCTGAAATTTTGTATAAAAGGTTGCATTGACTGTGCCTGTTGAGAGAGACTCATCTGGACTCTGCAAATGCACTCCCAGCAACAGCCAATGCATGAGATGGGGTTTCAAATTTATTAAGTGACAGCCTAAAAGCTTCAGAAAATTGACACCTGGGAGGAGGGAAGGAAGCAGAGCTCGTCAGCTTTTGTTTATCACCCTGAAAAAAAGTATGAAGAAATGTGAAAAGCCTTTTGTCTGTACATTTTTCACTCTTAAACGCAAAACCTGGTATTGCCACAATACATAAAGAAGCAGAGTCCTAGAAGCCTCTCGCTTTCTTTCTTTATTCCTTCCTCCCACCTCTTTCTGAATAAATGAAGGTCACAATTTGAGTAGAGAAGATGATATTCAGTGCATCTGGTCTCTGGTATTGATCTTACAATTGGACTGTATTAAACGTGCCACTTTCCAAACTGATCTAGATTGTAACACGTACCTGCTATGATGACTGAATCCGTTCTGGCAGGACCGAATTTCAGTGTCATTTCATGCTTGAGTTTATGAACAGCCAGGTGGTCCTCATTTGTAAACCTCTAAAATGAAAAATGGCAGGGAGGAGGGGAGAGGAAAGAGAGAACAATAAGTGCACGAGCACACTTAATATTATAACTGTACATTCTACACCAGGGTTTGGGGTGGGGTGGGACTGCCCCAGGACAGCGGCTATAATATAATCACTACAAAGTGTAAAGCAAAAACAGAACAGGCCAGATTGTGGGAGAAGTGCTGCATGAACACATTTTCTCTCAATGGAAGGGGGAAAGCCATAACATGTTGAGCTCCTGGCTAATAGAGAGAAATGGGTTTAATAATCAAAATTTAAAAAGGGAAGAAAAAAGGCAACAGCGTGTAGTTACTGCACTAGACTAGGAGACATGAAATATTCTCTCTGCAGTGCTCTGCAAAATGTGCCACTTTATTATTGACTAATGGAGAGGGAAATTATTTACTATTGGCAATGGAGGGGTAGGAGTAGGATCAGTTAATGGCCTGAATTGTGCCAAACAGAGCTGGCATCTACAAGGCGATTTGGTCCTGAGTTTATGAAACATGACTGAGCTAGGCTGGCTCAAGATCAGTGGCCAATGGCTACAAATACAGAAATGCAAGAACTCAATCATCACTCCCAATGAACAAGGGCCTTTACATCTTGTGTGCCAAAATATGCTATGTTCCACCTGCAATATTATTATAGGAAGGAACAAAGTACAGCTGGTCCTGGTCTCTGGGACTCTACTGGTAATACTGGATTTCCCACACGAGAGCTCAAGGTGAAGACAGCCAACCATGATTAATCTTATAAAAGGCAGGTGATAAAATAAAATTGGGCAATATTTGCATGTCACCAAAACATCCATAAAGACCTTTTGCAATATTGATGGAAGTGAACAAATAAAAGCTACTACATTTTCAGAAAGAAATAGTTTTTTAACATTTTTTTTGTTTTTATTCCCTACTATAGCAAACACAAATGAACCAAAATAGCTTTCTTCAAATGGGAAGTGTGCTCTTTACTCTAAATGTCATATTAAACTTAGACCAAACTCAGAACTGAATATATCAAGGCTTCATTTATCAGAATTATTACTACTTCATTTCCCCCATTGAACAACAATTTGCTCCAGTGAATTGCCTGCCAATACTGACTAGCCTCTCCAAAACAGAACCAAATCCTTTTAAAGCAGACAGTGCTTTATACGACAATGAATACATGACCATGACCATAATCAAAAATCAGTTCCAGAAAAATGTGGTATAGCTGCAAAAGATGCACACTCCTGAGCATTTTTATCCGCCCCCCCCCCCATTGACTGAGTGGGTCTTCTCCAAGTATGACTTAGTTGGATATCACCCATAGACAGCTGAGACCACCTCAGCCTTCCAGCTTTAGAAGACTAATCTTTTTTTACTACTCTTTGGAACTGACCCTGCAGGTACGATCAGAACCACCATAAAACAGTGCCCCCAACACCCATCCAGCAGAGCCAGTCCAATCAAAAAGATTACCCCCCCCCCGCTATCAGACCACTTACTGTGCCATCAGGAGCAAAAACTAAGTTGAAGGTATGTCCCACTCCATGTGCCGGACCAATGACAACTTGAGACAGCCCCATGCTTTTCATGCAGGCCATGAAGTTCTGAGTTAGCTCACAAGCAGCCATAGCGTGAATGTTGAGGTCACCAAACAAGATAGTCCTTGGCTCCTCCAACATCACATTTGAGACCACCTTGGCCAGCAATCAGGGAGACTGCCTCTCTGGCCCAAAAGCAGATACGGGTCCTCCAATTCAGCTGCTAAGAGATGTGGTTCCTTGGTGATGGTCACAGAAGTCTGATGGACCATGGCGACCTTCTCTACCCCTCTGGTCTGCCATAGTGTTGCACTGAGTACCTGGGTGAGCAGAGCTGGGTGAAATCAAGCCCACCTACCTCAACCACCCAGGTCTTGGTGATACATGCCAGATTACATCATGAATGAGCGAGGTGTTTTTTTTCCACGCTATGCATCTAATGAATGTTGTTGCAAACTATACTTTCCAGATCACTCCTTTGCCTTTTATGACTTCAACTCAATACTTCAAAAAGCACTAAGAATTTTGAAAGTAGGATGAGCAAAAGCAGCGTGAAAGCAATTTATTCTCTCTGGAAGGTATGGAATGAAGATAGCAAGTAAACCATTTACCAGCAAATCTGCCACTATTTCAAAAGCAGCTTAAAAAACAAAACATTCAAGGAAGAAAATAAAATTAAAACCCACATCTACAACTCCTATTTCTTTGACACCACAATCTGGTACGGAACTAGTGGATGGAGTTTTTACTTTGGCAGAATGGCAAGCAGTGGCAGCAGGACCATAAAACACTGTAATAGGGAGTCAAAACTCATTTATTTGCCACCATTGAAGGATTTGTGGCATCAAGTTTTTTCCCCTTCAAGTGCTGTAACACTGTGCCATATTTCAGTAGGGATTGGTAATCAAAGCACTGTCACTGACATATAATCATGGCATTTGAAGAAGTAATCCATGTTGCTCAGTAAAGCTCAGTCATGGAGACTGTGGCTTCTACTCTGATCTTCAGCTACATTTTGTTTAATCTTAGAAATTCTCTTTATGCCCATATGTCCCAGAATACAGAAACCACATACTGTACAGAAGTTCTGATGCAGAGGAGATGTCTATGGAGATGTGTGTGCAGTAGGACTCTGGCTGAGTGATCCAACACAGACCCAGAAGCTGGTCTGAGGTCTGCAAGCCACCCAGGGGGAGAAGGTGCTCTTTTGAAGCCCAGAATTCAGATTCTTCAAAATGAGGATGAACCAGGATTTACGGGTCCATAAAATCATGAAAAGTCATAAAGAGGCAGAGACATCACCTTGCCAACAAAGGTCCGTATAGTTAAAGCTATGGTTTTCCCAGTAGTGATGTATGGAAGTGAGAGCTGGACCATAAAGAAGGCTGATCGCCGAAGAATTGATGCTTTTCAATTATGGTGCTGGAGGAGACTCTTGAGAGTCCCATGGACTGCAAGAAGATCCAACCTATCCATTCTTAAGGAATTCAGCCCTGAGTGCTCACTGGAAGGACAGATCCTGAAGCTGAGGCTCCAGTACTTTGGCCACCTCATGAGAAGAGAAGACTCCCTGGAAAAGACCCTGATGTTGGGAAAGATGGAGGACACAAGGAGAAGGGGACGACAGAGGACGAGGTGGTTGGGCAGTGTTCTTGAAGCTACCAGCATGAGTTTGACCAAACTGCGGGAGGCAGTGGAAGACAGGAGTGCCTGGCGTGCTCTGGTCCATGGGGCCACGAAGAGTTGGACACGACTAAACAACAACAACAATAAAAGTCATGAACAGCCTACAGCCCCTTGGTCTACCCTAAGCTCCCAGCAGAGAAGGCAGAAGGATAGGGGGAGACCATCTGGCCAAGTAGGAATGTCAGCCTCCAAGACAAGATGCTGCCCCTTAAATTATACTTAACTGGAGAAGGGCATGCAGAATGACTGCTTCACTATTTTGGCATGCAGTTGAGCTCAGACTGTTGTTGAAAGAGTTTCCATTGCTCCTGGGATTTACATTGGGAGCTGGCTCAGGTCCTGTCCTGTCTGACCCAGCCTTAGCTACCTGGAATTTGGATACCTGTTATCAGACTCATGGAACAGATCCAACTGCTACCAGCCTTGCCAGGACAAGATACACAAGTTCTAAGCCACATTTGTTTGCAAGCTTACAAAGGATTTTAATTGCTCTGCAATGTTTATTGTGTGCAAACTGAAACAGATTCTGCTGCTTTCTAATGAATGCCAAAACCTGGAGACTAACCATGGCACTTCAGTCCTAAACCATGCCTCTCCACACAGAAGGGAAAGCGATGGAACGCGAGATGAAAGGATAACAGCCTGAACCACAGTACTAGCATTTTAATCTCTTCCCCCAACTGACAAGTTCAGACTCTGGAAGGACTCCCTTCAGACACTTAAAAAGAAGTGGAGAATGGCTCTGGGAGCTGTAGGCATGCGGTCTTCTCTTCCACACCAGAAAGACTGATTTCAAATATTTAGAGAGAGAAAATGATAACATGCTAACTGCACCTGTTATAAGGATAATGGGGGATTCATTCAGTCCTGTGCTTTGTGAACACAGAGTCCATTTGAAACCTGTTTTAATAACCCCCAAAATCCAGACATACTCCTCGAAAGAGAACATTTGATCAGAGGCACAGATGATGATTTACAGTATATATACCCCACCCTTTTCCACAAAAGGTTCTCAGAGCACCATACAAAAACAAGTACTAAAACAGTCCCTGTCCTCCAGCTCACAATCTATAAAGATATGACATACAAGGAAAAAGGACTGGGATGGAGTTGGGAAAAATAAACTCACGATATTAAAAGTTAACAATTCTTAAAGTTACATATGCAATATGTATAACCGTTTTGGGCACCGCACATACAACAGAACACACAAGCACATACCACAGCATATTCTACTGAATACACAGACTACTGCAATGCGCTCTAAGTGGGGCTACCTTTGAAGGTGACCCGGAAACTGCAATTAATCCAGAATGCGGCAGCTAGACTGGTGACTGGGAGTGGCCGCTGGGACCACATAACACCGGTCCTGAGAGATCTGCATTGGCTCCCAGTATGTTTCCTGGGAGTCATTTTGGACTCACTGTCCATGGAGGCGCAGGTCAATTCTGTGTCCATGGTGGCTGTCTACCAGCTCCACCTGGTACGCAGGCTGAGACCCTACCTGCCTGCGGACTGTCTTGCCAGAGTGGTGCATGCTCTAGTTATCTCCCGCTTGGACTACTGCAATGCGCTCTATGTGGGGCTACCTTTGAAGGTGACCCAGAAACTGCAATTAATCCAGAATGCGGCAGCTAGACTGGTGACTGGGAGTGGCCGCTGGGACCACATAACACCGGTCCTGAGAGATCTGCATTGGCTCCCAGTACGTTTCCTGGGAGTCATTTTGGACTCACTGTCTATGGAGGCGCAGGTCAATTCTGTGTCCAGGGCAG